TCTCTCTTCTCTCTCCTCTCTCTTCTCTCTCCTCTCTCTTCTCTCTCTTATCTCCTCTCTCTCTCTCTCTCTCTGTCTGTCTCTCCCGCGTGTACAGCTTGATTCTTAGAGCTCCTTCCATATCGTGCAACTGAAAGTGGTATCTTGGAGTCCTGGAGTATCCTGAGTGGGGGGGGAGCCTGCGGATTTCCGGTGAGGGTCTACCCCTCCTCACCGCATCACAACGCCACTGAGGCGGAACGCAAATCAACGGAAGGATCACGGACGGAGGGACTTTTCCACCCGAGGAAACTGCGAGGGGCGGCCCTTCTACAGGAAACTGCAAGGAGTGTTTCAAGGAGCATTTATCAATCATCGTCTGCTTGTGAAAAAGTTTCCTCCCACCTCAAGGTCCTCAAGCAGTGCGTCGGGCAAGTTCTTGGAATAGGCACCGTTTCGGATGAGGCACACCTTGGAACGATCACTGAATCTTAATTGCCATATTGGAGCAAGAAGCTAGTAGTGACAAGGGCATCGCTACTAGTAACAAGGGCATTACTACTAGCAGCGAGAAGCTACTATAGTAACAAGGATGGCAAAGTCCTACTGCGCTCGCTCTTCTCCTCAAGTTGGACTCTCCACTTGTCGGCAGGGCTACAGCCACCTACTAGCGAGAGAAGTTGGAACCGGGCAAAAAGATGTGGAAAATGGTCCTCATGGATGATGGTTGATCTGATTATCATTGATACCTTGTCTTTTTAGATGAAAATGGATTCAACATGTTTCAACTAAGAGAGACCTGGAGGTCGAGAGATGTTGATGTGTCCGAGTTCTCCCGATTCAGATCACGAATCAAAGGTTTATAGGGGTGGGATTACTGGGTCCGCGATCGTGGCGTTCTCCTCTTTGGGCCTCCCCAGTGGTGGCTGTGGTGGGATAACCAAAGTCAACACGTCGTAGCCTGTCGATTCGCATGGCTGTGGGTCATGGCTGTCAGGAGACCGTCACAACGAAACCCGACGAAGGTACGAAACCCGACCCAGCCCATCCCATCAGCTCTGCAAAGTGCCATGGCACAGCCGCATCCTTGTGACCATTGGCCACTGCCCATTGCAACGCCGTCCTGGCGGCTCCCGCCGGGTTCGGCGGTTCTCATCGCGGATTCTTCAGGAACGCCGTATGACTTATTGAAATGAAATGAATGTCAAACATGATGTCTTCCAACAAATAGCACTGATGCGCCATCTTCTTAGTGTACTTTGCCTGGAACGAGTATCTTCTCTCCACTGGCTCTTGCAACCACCACCTCAGATTGTCTAGAGAATTTGCTTCCAAGAGCTTCTTCAACCTCAATGTCGCCTGCTTCAGCCGCCCAGGCCTTGCCCTGGGCGGGTTGTCCTTCACTTCATCCCAGAAGCTTCCTTCCCCCAAAAAGAAGAACCGTTCCGGACAGCGGATCCGGATCCGCGGCACGCTTGCGCTTGCGCCGGGGGCCTGCCCCAGCGGTCTTTGGCTTCCAAGCCTCCATCCTTGGCCTTCAGACCCTGACGGAGCACGGCGATCTGACCAGGTCGAGGCCAGGTGGGGGTGAACAGGACCGAAGCGATCACACAAACGTTAGCTGAATAGGTGAAACAGTTAGACCTCCTGTGTGTACGTACATCATATTAATATATATATATATATATACATGTTGAGTCTACACAATAGGTATGGAAAAAAGGATGATGTTCTCACCCTCTTGAAACGTCCTGGACCAAAAGCCTGCACGCTCTCTTTCGCTGTTTCGGTGCCTTTTCGCTGTTTCGCTGGAGTTCGACCCCCCCAAAACGACGCCACCAACACGGTTTCCGCGCGGTTTCACCGCTGAAAGAGGCTGGCGGAAGGGCCTTCACTTTCGACAGGATGAGCTCCAAACACTTCAGATCTCCCGACCTGCGACCGGAGACCGGAGACCGACCACCGCGTCGGACCGGGCGGAGACCGGAGACCGGAGACCTGGGAAGCGGGAAGCCTCCGACGGCCAGGATCGACCCCCAGACAGCTTAATGTGACAGCTTGCCAGCAAGGTTCTGCCAGCCAAGAAAGCCAAGCTGTTGGGGACCCCCCCAAAAATACACAAAATGTGCGCTTCTTGTGGTGTCACAGCCAACAGTTCCGGCCTGGCTGACAGATGTAGCACAGTCTGCCTGGGCAGGGACTACTAGGATTCCCCACATGTCTTCCGTGAAGAAGCCGAGCACGAGAGATGATTGTCCGATGCAGTAGAAACTGCAGTGGGTAATCAGGTCCGATGTGAAGAAGTCCCTCACCAAAAATGGTGAGAAAACAAGTGAAACCTCCGCCCGCGCGTTCGGATCTGTAGGCCGATCTTCGCCCGAGGTTGATGCGGAAACCCAAGAGTGGGGAGACCCCGGAAAGGAATCTCTGTGAAAGGGTCTCTGTCCCTGAAAAGCCTCGGAGTGTTTGTGGAGGCTAGATGTTCACAGCTAGTTGAATACGGGGAACTTGAGTGGTTGAGACGGAATCTGCTCTGTAGTCCCTCAGGGTCTTCACTTTGAAGACACACTCAGTTCCCCCTTCAGTCAAGTGAATCAGTTGCACGGCTGTGGACCAGGCGCATCTGGGAGAGAGTCAGATTTTGACAGATCTTGACTTGTAGCCACCTCCAAACACTTGTACCCCCCCGCATTCATCATCGGGTGGCTGATCTGCATCCCGTGCCCAGGTGGCGATGCCCTCGCGTTCATCATTGTCACCGGTCGTCAGCAAAAGTTGCAAAAGCGAGGGGTCCTGGGAAGCGTTGGACATTGGAGGATTCTGGGGAATGCTCAAGTGACTGACCAGTGAATCATCTCATGGGAAATGTCCAAATCGTGGAGAAAGTGACTGACCACCAGTGATGACCATGATCGACCTGCGATGCAGGGGGAGTTTGTATATAAATAAAGCATAACAAAAAACGGACCAGCATGGACCATCAAATGGACCCGAGGGGCTTCCAAAAAGTCTGATCCATGCGGGAAGAGGGAACTCAGAAACCTGTGATGGATGGTTCACTGGCTTTAGAAGATGGAACTCTGGAAGAGTGGATCCAAAATTGACCTCAAAAACCCCTGCTGGAGAACTTCTCCGAGACTTCCTCGGCAGCTGAAACGAGATCTACACCACGATTCAACTCCAGAAGATCGGTCAACTCCGGATAGGAAGTGACCCTCACCCAAAAACATCCTAAAAACCTTCCAACAGAGGTTGAAGGACCCTAGTTCGACTATCCCAGTTGAGTTCCCCAGGTGACTCAGGTCCTATATATCAGGTCCCAAGCCTGTCAGGACCACCGGAGCCACAGACTCCGAGCGGCTCCCCGAGCTGCGGCCACATGCGCTGCGCTGGTCCGGGCAGAGGTCATGGCGCGCACGTGGGCGCGGGCAGAGAGGAGCAGCTGGGCACAGCCTGGCGCTGTTTCTTTCACAGAATCGAAACCAACAGACTCCAAAGCAACACCCTAGAAGTCCAAAGACTATAAGATGAATATTATACATATATATATATATATAGTGAAGCAAAGGAAGTTCCACGAAACGGGAACCCAAAAGACCATTCTGTTGAGAGTCTCAGTCTCTCACTCCCAGGGAACAGTCATATCATTTATATAATTGGTCCAACACCGGCGCCCCCTTCCTTTCCCGCAAGTGAGTGGGGCTGACGGTTTGGCATCGTTGCTGATTTGAACCAGGAATCCGAGGTGACACACCGCAACCGATTGCCCTAGCTTTCGTTGACCCGATTACCCTTAACGGGTTGATCGGGCGGTGACAGAGCGGGTTTCCCGGTTGCAGTTGCGCATTCGCATGCTGCTGGGACTCTGGCTCTTTAAAATCGGGTGCGGCGATCAACCAGAGACTAGCGCGTCGCGAGCAAACGCTTGTGTTCGTGATGTTCGCAAGCCGACATGGCCGTTGCAAGTCGACGATGGTGACCAAACCCTGCTGATGCTCCAGAACCAGCTCCCCGGTCTTTTCTGGCCAACCAGTGTGTTCTTTCGAGGTGACCTAACTTCACGAACACTTCCAGTACCAGCTCTCCTTCCTCACGGCTGCCCATGTGCACCTATGTGCCCTGCGGTGGCCGCGGCAATGAGCGGCACCTGCCCCCGCGGCGGCCGGCCACGGGCCGGGCCATCGGGAGAAGCCACTTGGCGAGTGTTGAAGAACATCGGCCGTCCCAAGTCCAACGAGTAGGTCACCAGTGAAATGAAACTTCCAAAGTTGGTGTTGTTTAAAGTTGGTGGTGTTTAAAAGGAACATGCCCTTCCAAAGTCTCTTGTTTGAAGCCTGGACCCCCGAGTCTGCGCCTTCGGAATAGTGAACCACCGCTGATGGAACTCCATGATTCTCTATGTGGAAGGCCCTGGATACATGATTGTCGGAAGACCCAGTGTTGATGAAAGTCGCTGGAACCACCGTAGATTGTGTAGTGAACTGAGGGTAGATGGCACAATCCCCCAAAGGAGGTTCACATGTTGTGCCATCTACTCTGAAACCACTAGAGATATCCAGCTGTAGGCTACGTATGTCTTCATGATGTGACCATGCGCCAAAAGAATGATCCCAGTATTGCAGGATGTCTTCCAGCAAGAGACCACAACGGTTGATCCCATTCGTCCAAGTTTGAGCAAGAGCTTTTGCTGGACTTGCCTTCAGGACCTTACTGGACGAGTTGATTGAAATCCGAATCTTACTGCTGGTGCTAGCCATCGGCCATCTTATCCCATCAGCCATCTGATCGTCACAATCGACCTTCGGAGCCAATCAGAATCCTGTTATTTTCTGTGTCTTTCCTTTCCACTGTGCCGCCTCCAGCAGAGCCTTAACCACTGCTTCTCGACCATCTCCTGAACCAAAAAACAAGCTACGCTCCCTGAAATCATGATGGAAGTGGATGGCATGGCTCCTTGGATGACCATTCTTCTCTACAAACAAATGGTCTTCCACTTCCATGATAGCTTCAGGGAGTTCGTTCGGGGTTTCGGGGTCTCATGGCTGAACTGAAGGGGATGTGATGAAAGCACCAGGGGTCTCAAGATGTCTTCCGTTCGTCGAAGGAGGCAAAGAGATCAAGAAGTTTGCGTGATGCGAACTGGGTGAGACATGATGACTGAACCTGCCGAACGTACTCTTGATATCTATCTATCCTGTTTGTACCAATCCCAGCTTTTCCACACCTGGGCATTCTTTGGTCCAACACCCGGAAGGTCTTAGAAATCCAACCAGAGAGGTGGATGAGACCCGCTCCTGCTGCTGCAATCAAGGCAAGTTCAGGCAAGGTGCCTTGCTGCAAAAGGATCAAAGCGATCCCATCGGGCCACTGATGCAGAAAAGAGCTCCAACCAAAGAAGAAAACAAGTTCCGGAGTCCATAACATGGAAAGATCTTCGGATGCACTGGTCAAACTATTTACGCGGCGACTGTCGTTCTTAAAACATGGAAAGACCCAAATGTTCAAACCAACCCCATGTCCCATTGTCCATTGTGCCCGATGCTTAGTCACCAATCGGAGACAGTGGTGCGTCTCTCAAGCTGGCTCGACAAACAAGAAAAGAAACCAAAGCCCTATTCATCTTCACATATCTTAACCAATTCCATCTTGCACGAAGTCGTCGAGTCTACGAGTTTGGATTGTGAGATTTTGGTTGTATCCAAAGACCCCAAAGCTGACACCCCTCGACCAAAAGAAAGCTCATGTGCGACTCACCCAGATGGCCTGTCTCAGTCGCGCAGCTCACTTGTGAGGCACCTGGACTTCAAAGAATGTAGACTCTCGTTTGTATTTCAAAAATCCAATCCAAATGGGAGGTGTTGTTATGTTTTCTTCTCATCACTGGGCATAGAAAAAATCGAGGTCCTCAGTCTTCTTCCAGTAGTCACTCGGGGTGGTGGGGTGGTGAATAGACGTCGCTGACCTTCCAGGGGCGTTTCTTCAAAAAGACACCGTCGGAGTCTCCCAGTTGGAGTAGACCTCCTTGAAGAAGTCCGAGCAGAAAAGGAGTCACCAAAATAAGGTAAAAGCAAACAGACTGTGAGACTCCCAGTTGGAGTCGGTTTGGAGTCTTCCAGTTGGAGTCGACCTTGGAGAAAACAGTGAGGTCTATTGCTTCTCAAAATAGCATCGAATCGTCGACACACTCGATCTTCGAGGCGGGTCGGCGTGTCGGCGTGTCGAGATGAGACCCACCCTGGACACACTCATCTGAATCCAGGCTAACCAGAAACGCCAGAAACCCTCGAGGTTTCTGGGTAGGTGAATGGAGGGGAGGAGCAGGTCAAGCAGGTCAGCTGGTGTTTTTATTTTTGGGTCGGACTTCTGGTTGCCTCATGACTGCTTCAAGGAGAGATGGGCATCTTCGAATAGGAATGGACTCACTGGGCATCTCCTCCACCACCGAGAAATGCCGCACCGGTGTATCCAGGGTGTCCTCTCCAACAGGGGTCAAAACCTCTTGAAAATGCACTGATGGATGCCTGTTTCAGTCAGTGCACCCTTCAGTATATTCAACCTGTTCAATGAAGTGTCTGTAATGCTCAGACAGATCTCCAGTACACGTGGTCACCCCCATCCATCTTCAGTGCATCTTCACATCTTGAGGGCACTCCCGCCTTTGTCTCGCACTCCCTTTGACGCCAGAAAGGTGGCATACTGCCGCAACATGGGCCTGATAGAGCAGACAGCTGCATGAGTCTCAGGCACAAGCAGTGGAGAGAGTATCCAATCTATCGTCACACTGACCCTTTCTAGGGGGACGAAGGAAGCTTGCCTTCGCTGCAGAACCGCCTCCAACCAGTCCCCTTGCCGTTCGCCGCCCTGTGGCCTGGCCAGAAGTTCACAGGGAGCCAGGGGGCCCAACGCAGCACGGAGCACGCACACGGCACCTGGCACGGTGAACTCACCCAGTCCGTCTCCATCGATCACGCGAAGCAGAAGGGGGGATCGACCGTGCGCGTGCGCGAGACCGCCAGTCTGACCGAACCCCTTCCTTTGGAGCGCGCCTTCGGGTGCTTCTGAGGAGACCATCAATCCTGCCTCGCCCGCCTGCTCCTGTCAAGGCGCCATGCCATTTCTGTTAAAGGTAAGAAAGACACTGGGCATCACCTGATGGAGAATATCAAGGGCAACGGGTTCTCCACTTCCACGTTTGTTGGAGGGAGATAGTCTCCTCAAACTGTTTACACAAATTGTGTGCATCAGGCATTACAAGATCTTCAACAGCAGCCCAGGGCTCACCCAGACTCACATGCATGGCTCCTGGGACTCTGACACTGAATCTTCTGGAAGAAGCACTTCCTGCCGGTCATCGCCACGCCGATCCCGATCCAAGCATCCCCTGCCCTTCGAAAAGAGAAAAGCGCATGTGTCTCTTGATTGAATCCTGTTTCTGCTTATACCTGCGCCTCAAAGGATGCCCTCAAATACTACTCACGCAGGAGAGGAAAAGAAAACCCAAAAAAGTCTGCAAGCATGTGTAGCTGATCGTTTCGACCAAGAAAAATGGATGAATGGTGAGAGGAAGGCGAGTTGTCCTCCAAAACTTGTGTTTTTGGATGTTTTTCTCTCGTTAGACCAGTTCAAGGCGACTCAAGAAGCCTTCCCATCGATCTTCCGATGTTCCACTCAATAGCTGCCATTGAAACCACGCTGAGAAACTGCTTTTGGGGAGCTCCCCGTCTGTTTTTCTTCCAACCCCAACTTGAGGACCTTCATTGCCACCCCACCCCACTGGAATGCCAAGGGTACCAGTTCGGATCCAAGTTCCCAAAGAACGAAGCACATCCGAGAAGTGACTCGTTTTCAGTCCAGCCACGTCCAGCGATCAAGCGTCTCCAAAAAAAAGAAAGCTTCGGTGCGGGTGTTTCTGGTTCAGAGGTCCTTCCTGCTTCACTTGCTGCTTCACTTGGCGGCGGTTTCTTTTTTGGACTTCCATCCATGACCTTGTCCTCAATCGCCAAATGACCTTTCGCTGGTCTCTTGGAACCGGAAAACGCCAGCGCGCCGCGAGTCTCGTCGAACCGACGACGAACGGTGCTTCGTTTCGCCTCCGCGAGGCCCCGCGAGGCGCGGAGCGCCGCCAGGCTGTCGCCGCCCAGCCACTGGAAGTTGGAGTTGGCGCCTCGGTTTGACACCGTGGTGTCCTACACAGGGTGAACCAAAGAAAAACAGACCAGCCCCTAGGTAGGTATCAAGGGCCGTTCGGGTGTCGGCGCACGCTGGTCGGGGGTTGGCACAGCGGAGAGCGGGGATTTGGGTCCGGCAGCGGGCAACCCTTTGGCTGTTTCGATTGGATGGATGGCCAAAGGGAACGTCTTGAGGCCTTCCGACTGTTTTGCCGGCTGCAGGGTCTATTTTTCGAGCTCGAGTGGGCCCCACATGCAAGTACTTGTCATACACCTTTTTTCGTCGGTGAACATAAGCTCCGGCTTGGGCAGGACAGAACATGTTTGAAAATGGGCAAACATTACAGCATTACACTGCTATGCTGTGTACGGTACGGCCCGGACGAGTAAAAGCCGGTCAGAGGAAAGCATGCAGCAAAGATCTCGAACAGAATCGAAGCTTGGGAGATCAGTGGAGATGAAATGGAGGACGCCAGGGACGCCTGGCTGTATGGAACTCAACCTCGCCCACCACACCATGGCGAGATCTGTTCGTTTGACTCCAAGAAGCGAGTGAGCGTGGTCCGAAACGATCGGCTGAGCTCGTGGGTTGTTCTCCAGTTCGATGAAGATTGTTCAATCTCATTGGCTACAGTAAAGTGAGGGAAGGTAGATTTGGCCAATCCCACTTTGACCCATGGTCAAGAACCTTCGTCATGGTGTCCATGCATCAGTTCATGTCATTCAAAGAAGTATTCAGTTCATCCCTTCTTACCTTCGTTGATCCGACTGGTCGTTCATGGCCAGGTTCCGATGCTGTGCGCGGGCCGTTGCAGGACCTTCGCCCAGGCAGTGGCCACCGCCACCTGTTGCGAGTTCGCACCCAGAGGAGAATCCGCCGAACCGGAGAATTCAGGTCTTTCTCAACATCCTTTAGCATGGCTGGGTTCTGTATCCGTCGCAGTCATCTAACTCTTGTGAGGCATTTTTCCCAAAAGGAGACCTGGACGGAAGTTCGTCGTGCCACCGAAGCATCTCTCGGTTCTTGCACAACGGCCCATCTCTCAGCTGGGGTCGGCAGGACTCCGGCCTAAAGGGGACCAAGAATCCCAGCTCGCCTCTCATGGCTCAAGCACTGACCATGGACCGGCCCCTCCGCTCGGCCGGGACCCGACGTGCCAGTGGTGTCCAGCCACTCCGACCACAGCCGTGTGTGCTCAGCCACTGGCAGAAGCTGCGCGGTGCTGGTGTCAGAAGGCGTGGGGTCCGGGTCACTGAGTCACTGAGGGACTCAGATCAAGGTAGCATCCCGGATATGCAGGTCTCTAAGTGCAGGATGGTCATGTTCGCCAAAGAGCTGCAACTGACCAAGGCGCACTGTCACAATGCCCCAGCCTTTCAGAAGTTCACCTCTTGAGCATGCGTAACTCAAGAGCACATACGCTGGAAGCCTCGAAAAGCCACCCCTCGAACAGTACATGGCACATAAGTCGATCGGACACTGCACTTGCGTTCTGAGCACGTACTTCGGAGTTGACGATATGGTGAGTTTCTCCATAGGTCCATACATCTCCGTGTTCGAACGCAAAAGCACCGTTTTAAGCTGTCACGGACAGCTTTAAAGGTGAAGAACATCGGAGTGACCGCCCCCTTGGACCAACGACCACCCAAAATATGGTCCTTTCCTTCTTAAAACAGGGCTCATGCCTGTGTTGTAGGAATACGGCTCGCTCGCATGCTTTGAGACCATGAAATCGACACCTCTCAAACCCACCGAAAAAAACCCAAAAATGGACCCATGTCCGTGGTGGACAACTCCTGCTGAAGAAACACCAGGAATCAGGTCCAGGAACCCAACATCATGGGCACCTGTCATCAACCTCTCACATTAGGTTGGAGGCGATCGCAGTGGGTTTGTAGCTCCGTCGATTTCGAACTCAGGCGGCCTCCAATGGAGTACCAAGAGCCTCCAGCTCAGGCTCTTCTTGCAGGTCCGACGCCATGAGTGCCTGTTCATAGTAGCGACCGGTTTCATGCCAATAAAGCCGCCACTATGGGGACAAAGAAAGTCAACGTCAACGGCATATGAGTCATATGAGTGTGTATTTGAATAGAGACCCCCTGGGCCCTGGTCTATTTCATTTCTTTCGGAGATCTCCGGATATGATCATGATCTAGACGCCTCCACCTGTCACTTCCTCCACCTCAAAAACAACAAAGAGAAAACGATGAACAAGCATGCCGTCCACCTTTGGGAATATCTCCCCAACTCCAAATCAGCTTCATCTCGTCGACTCGTCCCAAGCTAGACATTGAAAGGCCTTCCAAATCCTCATTCGACCTTCTCCGTGCCTGTCGATCCACTTTCCCACCAGGCGCCAGGGGCAGTTTCTCATGTCCCACAAAGAAATGCGGCACCACCTGGGCTCGGGGGCCATGTTGCCTCACCTCGAAACCCCAAAAAAGGAGGAATTCACTGCGGCTGTGGGGCGAAAGCATGGGAGGAAGTTACTTTAAAAAGAAACAAAAGTGCCCAGTCCAGGTCTAAAGGATCAACCAAGAGCATTTTAGAGCAAAAGATGCGCCACGTGTCTCAAGGGATGGCTTCAGAATCGGAGGGTCCAAACCATGGTGCTTTTCCAAACCAAAACGTGTGTCATCTTGGTCCTTTTGGGCCATATCATTGGCTCAAAAGGTGGCCTCCGCGTGTCGGGTTCCGACCGGACATGTCCGGTTCATCGACCATCCAGTCCACCGCGCCTGCAGCGGCAAGCGCTTCGCGGCATGGGCTTCCAGGGCCGCACGCAGTACCCAATCCATGGTGCTGGAGAGCACCTGATGGCGCCCAAGTGACCCAATCGGTGAATCCCACCCCCACCTTCCAAAGCGTGTCGAAGCGTCGAAGCACCTGACATCGAAGACAGCACATCCAAACCAACGTCATTGTCCCCCCACCCGGTCACCCAACCCCGCCCATCCCTTCAACGGAACATACCAAACATCAACCCACATGCATACCTGCTAATGTCATCCAAGCCAAAAAAACTACTTTCTCTGGGGTCGCAAACACCCCAGTTGGATGAAACTACTAAATCCACGCAATGACGCAATGGCGTTTGTGCACCACAGGCCCACGACCAGTTCTGGAACAGCCACCGACCTGTTTGGCCGTCCGCAGAAGCGAGACACCGTCAACATGGGTTGGTGCAAGTACAATTGGCTGAGGATTTGGTTGGCTGATCCCCTCACGCATCCCTTCCAAAACCCACCCTCAACCAGGGTCTCATCAAGACCGCTGAAGACCTCAACCAGGCTTGTCTAAGTAAAAGAATAACTAACCAACAAATCCAGGATGCCAAATCGAATCAAATCGACTGGATTAGGATTCATGTCAGCAAATCTTGGACTTGTCCTGTGCCCTTTCAGGGCTGCCTCGACACTAACCAGCGTCATGCCCAAAAAGCTCCCCGACCAAAAGCTTTCAGCACGAAAAAGCAAGGCACCAGCTCTACTTCCCATACAAGAACCATCCATCGTGTGTCACCTTCCCTACACGACTTGTTCCATCGCCCTGGCACGCAATGGGCCACCAGCTGGTCATTCTGCACCATGCAAGTGCAGCTCTCGACGAGTCCAGAGGCCTCCACGGCCAGTTCGATCTCCAGGCTCTCAATCCGAACCCCGCTGATCTTCACCTGCCGCCCCCGGAACCCGGGCGCTTCGTTCCTCTTCCTCTCCTCACTTGGTCCGGTGCCCAGGTACGGTCCACCAGCTAAAACGACGGTATCTACATTCTATTAGCTTCTTGTTTCAGCAAACATCGTTCCTAGTAAGGCCAGGAGCCCCTACTTAGTAGCGTCTTTGCTCCCAGTAGCGATGCTACAAGTAGTAGCTTCTTGTTATATCCACCAAAAAATCCATCCATGTCCCTCACAGAAGAATGTCAAATTGTGTTCTGGGAGAATGTTGGGAAGCCTCCCTCATCTTGCATCAAGCTGCTGATGCAACAAAAACACTGACACTGAAAACAATTGCAGTTCCTTGTTCGAGTGTATGGCTGCCTCTCTCTCCTAACCAGTTCAAACCCGGAACGAACTGACTCTTGTAGTTGTCACCCTGGAAATGTACCTGCCATCTCGCGGTATAATTCAAGAAGATCTGTGTGTGCTAGAATGAGGAGATCCCAGGTTCAACCCTGGTCAAGGACAAGTAGACTCCAACCTATTGGGCCAGGGGGAGACCACAATATTTCCTCATGTGAGTGCCTCATATGGCAGTGGCTCATGAGGCCGTGAGGGGCCAGTTTGCACCATGGCAAGAGCCCACTGGCCCATGTTATCGTCTGGGAGACGAACTGACTCTCACAGGGCAACTTCATTCCCCCTAGCAACTTGCAGACCTACAGGCTCCACATGTTTCTTTAATTGCAAGAAACTAGGAACACTTCTTGTCCAAAGACTCTCTTGTTTTCCATGCTGGATGCTCCTTTGCCCTTTTTCCTCGAAAAAAGAAAACGCCTGATGGTCCCTTCGCCCATGCAACTCGAAGCCCTTCTCCGCGCTCCAGGACGCCAAATCTCCCGTCCGATACGCGCGGCCATCCGCCTCGCAGAGCGGCTGGACAGAGGGACGGGCGTGCGCCGTGCGCCGTGCGCCGTGCCCCGTTCCCGACAGAAATAGAAACATGAAGGTCGTCTGCTATAGCTTGTGTGAGGGATTAAACTCTTTTTAAAGTAGGAAGAAGATCAACTGGTCACAGGAGGTGTTGAAAACAAACTCTTCATGCCGGCCTTGTTGTTTTTGTCAAGGCTTCTCAACATGTTTAGACGGTCAATGAAGGCCGGCGTCTTCTATTTCTTGGTACTTTGATGTACTTTGTATGGCCCTCGACCTCTTTCCGTCCTTTGTCCCTGTTTCATCCTTCGTCCTTCGTTTGCAAAGCCTTAAAAAAGAAGGTGTTTTCCTGCATGAACCTTCTGCTCCAGTGGACCACAAAAATGAAAGCTGCCATCTTTCTCCAAAAAAGAGAGCCTCGTTTCCATGCTTTCCATGGTCACGCGCCTCGATGTCATCGGTCAGGAGATCCCAAGGCACGAAGCAGCGTGCCGTCTCCTAAAAAGAGGAGTGAAGTTCACACCCCGGTGGCAAGGCTCCGGACCGAGCCTGGGGTTCCAAAGAAGCAGATCAAAGACACTAGTAGCTTCAAAGACCTACCAGTAGTTGGGCCAGGAGCCCCTACTTAGTAGCTTCTTGGCTCCTAGTAGCGATGCCAGGAGCCCGTTCGTAGCGTCCGATCGCTCCTAGTAGCTTCAAAGACCCAGCAGTAGCTTCTTGTTACGTGAAACGATTCCCAACTCCTAGTAGCCGTCTCCTTGGGTGTTGGCTTTCCGCTGGAAAACTTTGCAGAGATTGAAGAACTCGATTTAGTGTAGAAGTCCTCCAGGTGACCTGTCCTTTTTCAGGTCACTTAACCTCTCTAACTGAAGGGTTTCAGATGCAGAACAGATCGGCGGACTCGTTCGGGGAACCACCTCCACGCCCGCCCCAGGTGTGGCCCCGACCTCTTCCAAGCCAAGGTAACCACGAGCCAGGCCTTTCCCAGCCACCAAGACCTCATTCTCCTGGACATGGCCCACGTGGCTCGCCGCTCGACCAAAAACGAACTGCAACATCCATCCCAGCACCGTTGTCCTTCTGCCAACCCCCAGCTGCCTAGATACATTTAAAAGAACAGAGTTCCAGCAGAATACACGACAATGGGAATCGCTGCAACCAACAAGTGTTCATCTACCTGCCAAATCGGCCGAGGATGCCACACATGTTCTTTCCTTCTCACCCTGAAAGTTTCACCTTCTTCCAACCTCCCCCGTCTTCACTTCCTCTTGACACACGCAAGAAACCACACATCCACAGCCACCCCATGTGCCGCACCATGCCCCCTTCCAAACCGCGAAGATTCGATCACATGCCTTGCTCAATCCGTGCCCCACGTGCCTCGCCTGGGTGAGGCCCAGCAGGTATCCTGGAAGCGCTTTGCCCACCAACTTCGCCGAGTCGCCCGCGCGCATCCGGTGGAAGGTCTGAACGCCTGTGGCCTCCGTGACCTGGTCGGTGGAGGTCGGAGGGGTGGGCGGACGAACGAGGTGGACGGCACTTGGAGGGGGTAGAAAAAGGACAACACAACAAGCTCTGATGAGTTGAAGAGTTGGTCACAAGCTCAGAATCCCCCAATCCGTGCGACAGAGCAGGGCCATGAATCCGATTGAATCCGTATCAATGTGAGGGCCAGGATACCAGCAGGTTCAAAGCCTTTCCCAAGGTCATTCTCCAAGTCGCTCCGTACATGTTCCGCAGCTGCACTTTGGATGCCCAGCTATCGATGGTGTCCCTTCGCATGGGCTCGCCACACAGCGTCCTCAGCGGCAGATAGAGAATGATTCGACAAAAGATAGGAGCTACGAAATGCATAGAACACCAGAATCCGCATGACATGGACAGTTTAGTCTTCCATTCTGACCCAACAGGTCAAGGACCTCATTTGACCGGATCCGGTCATGCAAAACCAGTACTCAATGAGGTCAAGGATCAGATTTAATTTGGCCCTTGGACTTGTAGGGTGCTCAAAAGAAGGTCATTTAAGAACAGAAAGAACTCCACCAACCACCCACCCCGACAGTCTAACAACGGTACACCCTGCGGCCTGCGGCTGCCCCAACCGTGACTCGAGCTTCAAATGCTGCAGATCTGGCAGATCTCCAGATCCTTTCAGTGCCCACTGGGTCGGCGTCATGGTCGCATGGCTCACCCGCATGCCCTGTAGGACCTCCTGGCGGAGGCTGCGAAAGCTCCAGGTGCTGCTCTTGGCAGCAAGTCCCACGTGAGAATTAGATCCCCAAGTTCAAAGGTCGTCATCTCTTCCAGCTCACCAAGTCCGGTCCAATTTTTGTGTTGCAAAACGCATCACGGTGCGTCCCATGTGTCTTTCATCCGTCCCCTCTCCGTCCGCTCCTGCAGGGCTCCCAGCACCGCAGCCCGCCGGGGGGCCACCACACTGGCGCCCCGACACAGCGCTCCAAAGACATCGCCTTCGTGGCCCCGGTGTGGCCCCGGTGTGGGCGCGTGTGGGCGCGTGCGCTGGGCGCGTGCGCCTCGGGTGTTTGGGAGGTGCCCAAAGCAGCAGGTTCTGAGGCGCCCGAAAATTCCACATCGATGTCGGGGGTGGATCCGAAAAAAACAATTCATCATCGCCAACCTTGGAACCCGGCCAACCCTTCGAAGTCCGCCAGCTTCAAGGCTTAAGGGCGATGGAACATGATGGAACTACATGGTTTCCACAATCACTTCCGCTGAAGATTCGCTTGGAGAAACTGCTGCTCAAGCCTCCTATAAGACCATTCCACGCACCGAAACAAAAAAACAGATCCAAACTCGGACCTGTGCGGAACCTCTGTGGGACCTCGCCGCCGCCTTCGCCCTCCAAAAAAAGAAGCCCGTCCACGTCCGTCACCCAAAACAAACCATATGCCTTGAGCTGGATCGAACGTAAAGTGCGAGGCCAAGAGCTGGCGGCCACCTGCGCCCAGCTTCCAACGCATGCTGCCCACATGCGCCCCGCGCGGAGTCCGCCAACGGTCATGGGAGAGGGCGGAGTCACTCGATGAAGTCTGACGATGGGTGTGTGATGGGGGTGTTTCACCTGCAAGGAGTACAGTGTGTCACTGGGAAAAGGCAAAGAAACAACTCGGTTGAAATATAGAGAAGGGTCATCCAAGACCAAAGTCTTGTTATGTCTGCACATCCACTGTTCATTGGCTGGTGTTCATTTGGCTATGGCTCAAAAAGATAGAGTACCACGTGGGGTGACCGAGACAGAGAGAGAGAGAGAGACAGAGAGAGAGAGAGACAGAAAGAAAGAACGAATCCCTCGAACCCATGGCATCCGCGTCTTGATCTTTGAACGTCACATGCACGCCACATGCTTGGGCAGATCATGGGTGGGTGAGATTCCCGAATTGAGTGTTCTACTTGGTGTATACGTAGTTGTGTTTTCATACTCGGCTTTTGCCACCTGAATCGACTGCAGCCGTCCCCTCCTCACCTGGTGCCAACTCCTCCACCTCCGCCTTGGCGACGGCATAGGCCACGGCGGAGCGATGCCTCAGCGAGTTCTACGAAGGAGATCAAGACCGAGATGAAGCAACCGAATGGTCTTGTATACAAGACCACTTTTTTAAAGGGGGTGTAGGCCCTAGAGGTAGCTAGTAGAAGAGGTAGCTAGTACCTGCAAGTGAGCTACTAACTACTGGACGCAGGATAGCTCACGCTTCTTCAAGGAAGCTCCCCCCGCCGTGTGATGTTCTTGTGAAGTGACTTTTCTTTATGGTTTAGTTGTGTGTGTGTGATGTTCTCTTGAATGATCTTTTTCCCCAATAGGGGTCTTCAGCCACAGTAAAGACTCGACTGCGGGGGATTTCTGTGATTTACCAAGATCCTCCTAAGGGCTTAGAGTTCTGCCTCAAAAATTGAGGTCATCCTCAAGCTAGATTCTTGCCAGAGGAATGGACATGCTCACAGCTTGTGAGGACTTCTCTCAAAAATACCACCTGGAAGATGACGACCGAACCACCTCAGTCACCGCTTTTTCCATCGAACCACCGGGCCACTGAACCACCGAACCACCGAACCCGTTCTTCACATCGATCCGAAGCCCGTCCAAATCGGACGGCCCCGGCCCACGACCAGGTCCGATGCTCCGTCGTCTCGTCGAGGACGCTCCAGCCAAGCAGCTCACACAGGACGCACTTGGGGCGTCCTTATTGGAGCTTACTGCTTGGCGGGAGCAAGTACAAGCTGGGAGCTTGTAAAGGGGAAGGTGAGGAGATCAGAAATCTAAAGGCCTTGAATGGAATCATTGCTGCTGGCTTGGGATAATTGATCCTGGTGCCCTACATCCCACCATGATTGCTGGCCTTTTCCTTTGGCAAAAACGAGGTCGACATAGACCCCAAGCGGGAATCAACCCATGAGTTCACAGGTTCAGCAGAGAAAGACTTCACCGTCCACTGCTCGCGGCCGCTGATTACAGCAGCCCACCAAGTGTGATCCGTACACAAGCTCAACTCCCAACCGAGCGTCAGGCGCCAGCACCCTTTGAGCGAGGGATGACCCCGAAAGAATCCACTGCTATGCTGGACGAAACTAGAAGTACCCCCACCATCACCCACCCTAAGCTGCCATCTCCAAGTCAAGAAGCCTGTAGATCCAGAGGTAAAAATGGCATAGCAAAGGTCTGAAGGTGAAACTTCCGCCACTGAGCGCTCGCCTGGCTCTTTCACCCGGCTCGAGACTTCATCCAGTCACCCGGCTTTCCGCCCAGTCTGAACAAGTGGAGCTCCGCCCGAAACTTCGGGAGTGCTGGTGGTGCGGCACGGCCAAAGTCACATTGCCAGGGGTGTAGTGGCTCTTGGTGGGAAGCACCAGATTTGAGGGTCTTCATGATGTGCCATGGCCCCTGAAAACCGTCCACCACAGAACCTGAAGGGTGCCTGGTACATGTTCCATGCTGAAAAGTGGCCAACGTCCAAGCCCAATCCAAGCAGGCAAGATACTTTGTTCCTCCAGCATTTCTTCATACCAGAAGATTGGAAGTTCTCCTTCAAAGTGGCAAGGTTGTTCAACAAGATTTGTCGAGGTTCCCCAATGTGACCGTGGTGGAATTGGAAATATTTCGGTTGGTGGAAGCATCACCGGAAGCACAAGGGTTCCAATGTCTCGCCGCAGAGTTATGCATATCAACAGGAGCGGTGCGGACCATGACCCTGAAAATCGGCACAAGGGGTGCCGAACGACTCTTGTGCAAAAAACATGCATTCTGTGCGCATATAAACAAGCTTGTCACTCGCATCTCAGAAACGTGGATGTGGCTCGGAAGATAGACACAATGAATACATTTGACCTTGCAGTTTGACGTTTCTTCACCAGTAGGTCCTAGGATTGTGCGCTCGATTTGTTTCGATGGCGACCAAGTACGTTCTACTCTACGAAGATCCCGATCCTTCGCATGTAGCGAACAGCGCTCCTATCAGCTGCTCTACCTGAGATCGTTGTGCCAAGCGAGCCAGTGCAGAAGTTGCTTCAGACACTTCCAGCACCTGAGACATGGAACGAGACATGGAGATAGCTGGCACATGGCCCATTGAGGAAGAGCAGAACACATAACCTCGAAATATAAACAAATACTTCGGACGTCCATGGCTTCAAAGACCTTGCAGATTGAAAGAGGATTCATTTGGGCTCCTTTCCGGCTAAAAGTCATTTCTTAATTTGTCCCTTGAGATGTGTCTCCATCTCTCCGACACCCCTTGGTTCCCGAACACGGCCAGACTTGGCAACTTCGGTCGACGAAGAACGACGTCGACGCGAAGTCGTCTGCAACGGTCGTTGCGCGGCGCGAACGAGCCAAAGTTCAGAAGGAAGTCGGGCTACATCCTCTGCATCTGGTTTCAAAAGCCGGGAGCTCCGAAGCCCGCCCCAGAAACAGGTGGCTAGAGGCCGGGGGCGACCGTGTTTGTTGCGACGTTTTGGAGCGTTTTTATTTGGCCGATTGGTCTGCTAGGTCCGCCCAGTCTGGGATCCCCTCATCGTTGGTCCGCCAAGCCACCACTTGACATCGTTCCACTGGCCAATGGGCTAGATCCACCGGAACAAAGGCACCCCCTGCCCAAAGCACCTCAGCTCGTTTGAAGCGCTTCGAGTCTACTCGAGTCTAAGAAGAAGACTCGAGTTTACAAACGAATAGAAGACCCCTAGATATACACCGAGAATCGCTGTATTTGGAAGTGGATACACCTGAATCAATAGTACACCTGAATCCAATTCTGATTCAGATCAACCGCCGGTGAATTTGGAGGCCTTTTCTCTGCGGAGCCGTTGTCCACTCGGCGCGAGCACAACTTGATTTGATGAAAACTTCAGGCTTCTCGAGGGAAAAACGGCAGGAAATTGGCCGAGCCGATGCCAAAATAAATGTCATCAACAGATTCCACACAGCACCGAACGCTGCGCTTCC